CCCCTCTGGACCAGGTCGGCCTGAATCCATAGAGGCATCTCCTCTTTCTCCTGCGGCGTTCAACTCTGCAATGCCACAGCATTCCTTTGTCGGTTTATACCCTGGCTTCCTCAAGTAGAAGTTGTACACTCCCTGCTCCTGATACACAGGGATCCAACTCCGCTGCTCTGCAGCGTTCGCTTTCTCCAGGATCGCCTGGACAGCCTTTCCAACTTTGGACCCTTGCGGAATCAAGTTTCCGCCTTTTGCATCGAGAACTGCAATCCTTCCAAAGCCTAAGCACTTGGATGCTGAAATCAATGGCTTGTGAACATCAGCCATTGAACCTTTCACACGGCATTTGTTGCCGCTCTCGTCGAACCCTTCAAAGGTTCCAATGCCCTGACTGGGCACCAACTCTCCTGATGCAGTCTTGAACACAACTCCGTTGCCTTCACTGACAACCACTCGATCCTCCCAGCCATTCGGGATGGCTGTCTGGGCTGCTCCAGTGTCCAGGTTAAACTTCATCCATTCTTCGGCGGATGACGCCATTCCAATTCCACTCAAGTCTACCATGAGCATGCCGACATCGGCTTCCGGAGCTGGCTCAATGCCATCATCCGGTTCGTCCATCTCTTCCATACTTCCTGCGGCTTTACCTTTGCCGCTTTTTCCACCTTTGCCTTTATTGCCTTTGCCACCTTTACCACTCTTATCTCCTTTGCCTGAACCTGACCACTTATCGCCTTTTCCATCCGGCCGTTTCTTGCTCCAGAAATCGGCCGCTCGGTGTCCTTTCTTACCGCAATTATAGCAGGTAATATCTTGAGCCGGGTTTGAGCCTTTACTTGAACCCCCTTTGCTTGAGCCTTTCTTTCCATCACCTTTGGCCTGTTTACCTTTTCCTTTACCTTTTCCTTTGACCAGGCTTGCGATCCATTGTCCGATCGAATCGACGTCCATGGGTTGAGGTCCTTGGTAACTTGAACTTGATGAACCTGGTTTTGGAACAGATGACTTTGATGTGAGGGATGTTTCAATGACAAGTTCAATCTCTTGCTTGATCAACGAATAGGTTGTCAATCTACTCTTGTTCAACAAAAGATGTTTCTCCAGATCTGGGGGTACCAGCATCTCCAATGAAGCGGACTTGATGTCGTCCGATAGGGTTTCCCTAATCCCTGCGGCACTCCTCCGGGACTCGTACCGCCTGATGAGCTCTTCGAGCTGTTCGATCGCTGGCCTCACCGCGGCCCATGTCTTGACTCTCTCCGGTTGGAGAATCGCTCGAAGTATATTGCGTTTCCGTCCCGAGGTTCGGGGATCCCAACGGCGGTGAACTCGCCGATATGCTTCAAACCCATTTGAAGCTCCTACCATCAAATCCTCTGTTTCACCCGAGGTCAGGGTCAGGAGCACGCGATGAATTTGGTCAGCTTTATCCTCTAGATCATCTATGGCTGCTATGGTTCCAGTCCCAAATGCGGACTCCATAGCACTCATTTCAATCGCGTCTTCCTGCTCCAAAATATACTCCAGGACTTCAATGAACTCTCTCCCAAAAGTAGTTATGAACAGGTTATCAATGCTCCTGGCCCATTTCCGAAAATCCCCTTCAACATTCCCAAAACTCTCGGGGCGTCCTAACCCTTTGGTGTCCATGAGGATTTGGGACTTCTTCCTATCATCTTTCCTCTCAAGGCTTTTAGCCAATTCTCCTACAGCTGAAGCTAGCATTGATACCCCACCTTGAGACTCCCTCAACACTTGATTCTCTTGCTCCAACCTCGCTTGGTTCTGTTGGAGTTGAAGTACCATTTCACTCAATTGTTGGATCTGTTGTTCCATGGTTTCCTGCCCTCAACCCCTGCTGCTGCTGCCGCTCACTCCTTTTCCAGCGGCAGTCGCGGGCGGTTCGCCCGGTCAAGGATCGGAAGGTTTTGGCACTCCACGGACTTCAACAGTAGTCCGTGTGAGTTCTTCCGGGCGACGACCCACAGTTGTGGCCTTCGCTTCAGCCGCTACTTTTGGTGCGGCGGATGGTTTGGCCTTTCCTTTTGGTCCGGCCTTCGATTTGGCCTTCACTTTCGGCCCAGGTGTCAGGCTCACAGCCGGCGCCGCTTTGGACTTGGCGCTCGATCCAAGAACGGCAGGTCCCTTAAGTCCTCGCCGCTTGATGTAGTCCTTCACCACCGGCAGCTGTGCCTGCCGCCGTTCGTCACAAGAACTACAGGCCTCGTTGGATCCTCTTTTTCCTTGTTCGTTGGGGGTCTTCCACAATTCGCGAATGGCGGCCAATGCAACGGTGCCCTTGAGATTCCGTTGCTCGCAAAGTTCGTCGGCCGCAAACTTTCGCACTTGGAACGGGCTCTCTAATTTCCAATTTTCTATCGTCAATCGCTGGGCCCGTTCGTTGGCTAGGGCGACGATGCGGAGGTTCAACTCCAGTGCACGCCCCCAGACCGCCCGTCCCCGCTGGGTGTCGCGGGTTTGCGGTCGCTTAGCCGGCGGTGGCCCGTCCGGTGTTCGAGGCTGTCGAACCGGACTTGGATGGCTCACCGACTCTTCTTCTTCTTCGACCTCCTCCTCCTCGGCTGGATCAGCCGCTTCTGAGGTCTTCCTTTTCTTGGTCCGCTTCTCTTGATTGCGGACCTTCTGCTCTTCCCGCTCTTCTTTGATCTCTTGTGGAGTGCGCCCCTTTCCGAACTCTTTGATGCGCCTCCTCAGATCCTCTGTGATGACACCCTTCTTCTTCTCCAGCCTGACCAGGTCCTTCAGCCTCCGGTACTGAAGCGAAGTCTTGCTTCGAAGTCGAAATCCGGATTGTGGCTCTGGATGCTTCTTGACCTGTCCCCAAATGTTCTTCTTTACCCTCCAAGGTGCTTTGGGATCAACTTTGGCTGGGGTATATTTGGCGTGAATGCCACGAACCTCCCAACCTGTTTTGACACCTTCTGGGGAGGTTTGGAAGTCGGCGATCACTCGGCCAAATGAGGATGGCTGTGCGGCTGGATCAGCCGCTTCAGCCTCTGGCTCTACTATGGGGTCTTGCTCAGGCTTTTCCTCTTCTCCTCCTTCTTTCTCTTTTGTGGTCTCTTCTTTTGTTTCCTCTTCTTTTGTTTCCGCGGTTCCTTCAACCGCTGATGTTGTTTCGGCAGTTTCTACAACCGCCGGAGTGGTGTTTGCGGCTGGTTCCGCCGCTGATGTGGCTGGCAAAGGCTCCTCCTCCTTCTCTTCTTTCCTACTCGGGGCGGCCGAAGCGGCCGCTCCCGGGATCTCTTGATCCTCCTCCTCTGAGGTCTCTACCTTACTATGTCTCTCTTTCTTGATGCGCAGCGCTTTGTCCCTTTCGCTCTCACCGGGCTCACGCGCTACCATGAAAACGAGGTTTCGACGTTACGGAACGCCTTTTCCCCTTGAGCCAAAATACGTCAAGAGTCACGTGTCTGCAGTACCTATAGCGGAGTATATATGGGCTGTACATACAAACATGCAAACATCTCTTAATATAATGATGAAACCCGTTCTTTATGCAGAGACAGCTCCAGGCTGCAGGAGTCTTCCTGGCCCAGTCAAAATATCTGGTCTACCTATATAGCCAGGCTATCATCGCAGCGACAATACTGAGGACTCAAGGCAGGTTCATCGTGCGTTGAAACATCAGTTATGGCTGAGGACACTCAGTTGTCCACGCTGAGCACAGGACCATTTCCTTCATTGCTTCACTAACTGTCTTCCCTCTCGCAAGGAGAGGCTGTAATATTCCTTTCGGATGGATTAACGTTCCACTTTGATTGGAGGACATCGATCATTTGTGCAAACGGTTGCCCAGGTTCTTCCTCCATCTTGGCATCAAGACTGGTTCGTTACACCAGTCTATACAACAATTCTGTCATTGTGTGTGTCCACCTGCTGCCATTGTTCAGAACCTCGGGGTTCATGAATGGCCAATCCTGATGAGGGTGAGGTCTGTTGAGTACTTATCTAGTCCAATTCCCTGAAGTTGCTGAGGCGCCAATCTTGACTGGCTTTCATTCATTTGTGAATTCAGAGATAATTATGGAGACTGTGGATATCATTGGAATGCGATCTAAACGTTGAAATACAGGCAATCGGTCCGTTTCTGCATGAGATCAAAGCATGTTTCTCTGTATCTGCAAACCGCCGTGATACAGAAGATGCGTCCTTTTGACAAGGCCAAGGAAAGGTACGAGAGGGGATAAGAATGCAACTCCCAAGATGGAACAAATCGCCAACGGTCACTTTGAGCTCGTCAATGGACGACTTCATGACATGAAAGTTGCCTTGATCTCCAATTCCACTCAGAAGTGCTGCAAGATCTTTTAGAAACTTTAGAAGAACCTAATGGGCCAAAAGTCTTCGTTTCAGTTCTTACATCGAAGTCCTGTGATGAGCGCCATCTGATGGAAATTTCTGGACGGGTTTGTGTCGCTCCCTAGGCTGGAAACTCAATCAAGCACGGTAAGAGAGCAACAACTGGTTTGCCATGCTGCGGGTATTCAGAAGGTGGAGGACAATAGTGGCAACAAAAGTATGTTGGAGAAGCCGTCCATTCTTATTGAAGCTATGCTATATAGGTGGCAAGGTCTAGAGAATGAGCTGCGAGAATGGACAGTCTTTGAATAATCTCATCCCGTTGTGCGCAATCTGTCGGCAAACTGCAATTCTGTGTGTTTATTCTTTGGATTTGTATCTATATATGTAGATATATATAGAGAGAGAGATGCTGTACTGTGCTTTTTTGTGGAGTCCACTTGTGGATTGGCTTTCTCGATTGCATTCTTTTTGTTGACAAAGGAATAAAACTTGAGATTCACAGAAGTTGATTGCCCCTGGAACCATAATTATGAATCATGAATGTCCCTGCTCACTTCATGAATGTAAATAAGAAGCTCCGGCCCCACATGACTGGCGTTGCTTCTTGTGTCAAATGTCGGACCCAAACTCTTCAAGGCTAGTGCCCATTCCAACACTTCGACATACGCCATACGCGGCTCCTGCAATCCACGGAGCTGGTTGTGGCATCTCATCTCCCTCCACATTTGCAACGTCGGCGGCCCGAGCAGCATAGGTGGAAAGCGTCCCCTTTTCTGCCAGTTCAGTGACAATCAGAACTTCTCCAGGAAACTTGACCACTTCGAAAATGCGAAGTAAATTAGGATGAGCCAAAGCACGTAAGACGCTAACCTCATCACCTTGACCTTCTTCCTCCGGATCCAAGCGTTCTAAATGCTTGATGGCCACTTGTCGACCGGTGCACAACTCCTTGGCTTCAAAGACTTCACCGAAATGCCCAGCTCCAATATGTTTGATTTTCCTGTAGCGGCACCACACAGCTTCTTCAGGGCTGGATTGAACCTCGTGACAGCAAATCGTGTTTCTGTGCCTTCCAGCAGTAGCAAGTGTGATGGGACAAAGCCCCAGGAGGGTTTGCTGAAACATTCGCACCAATGATGTCAGAGTCTTCACTGGTTCTTCAGGCTTGGGCTTGCTCAACGGCTCTTCGTAAAGGTGATTCCCGATGGCACTTGCTGGCACCGAAGAGTTTTGATGCAGTGAAATGGCCAGTGTCTCGCACTCTTCAGGACTTGGAGATTTTAGCCGCTGCAAATCACCAAATGAGTTGTCAGATCCTTGAGAAAGTAGAGGTCCCACACCAAACTTCTCCTCTACACCTTGAATCACTGGGGCAAGAGTCTTTAAGGTAAATTGGGTGTCGCCAGTGAGGCTGACATGCTTCACATAAGCGTCTTGGCCAATTGACAAGAATAACAAAGGTTCCCGCATCAAAAGTGTGAAGCGTCGCAGGGAGCTTTTTCGGCTAGCAAACTCTGCTTCAAGCATCGCAATGTTTCGTGAAGCCCGGATTGGAATGTGCTTCCGGTTGAAAATTGTTATTGCAAAGGGCTTGCTTGCCAAAGGATCTCGAAGTGCGTGCCAAAAGTCATAGCATCCAGCAGCCCAGGGCTCCTCACTTAGCCCTAGCAGGTGAAGTATTTCCATCATGTCTTTGACACCCATACCGTTGCCTTTGGCATGCACCGTCAAGGCTGAATGCCGCAAAGGAGCCAACTCCTGTGAATCGTCATCCACAAACAGCACCTGTCCAGGCTGGGAAAAAAGGAGAAGAGGCCAGCGTCATGAAATCTTTGTCACACTACAGATTCAAGAGAAAAGTGTGCTTGGCACGTTCCGTACTTCGCACTTGACAATCAAAGCAAAACATGTCCCATGTTTGTTCATCTTTGCCTGCTCCCGTGTCAGTGCATGTTGGTGCTGGTATCTATGGACAATCTCTGTTTTGGAGTCCCATTCTCCTTCCTTCCACTTCCCAAGCAAGCTCCAAAGGCGATCGATTTCCTCATGCTTGCAGCTCCAATTCAGCTCCGTTTCGGCATCATATGCTGTTCGGGTCCCATAGGCCACACCAATGTTTCCATAAAGGGCCTCAAAAGGATCCAACAACCCCACTTCCTGCAAGCACTTTCGCGCTACGCCTACAAATCCTCTGGTGACTAAGATGATTCTGCAGCCACTCGAGACGAGACCGTCCAGCAGTTTTCGAATCGCTGTGACCCGACTGAAACCGCCAAAGGCTTGCTCAATCCATGCCGGTCCCAGTTCCGAGAGGCGCCGCAGTTGTCCCCGTTCCGTCAAGGCATGGGGCTCGGAGACCACCAATCCACGCATGGCCAACATACAAACTTGCGCATCCACCCAGCCAGCAAGTGATTTGAAGACATGCACAACCGTCAAGGTGAAATCAAAATCAAAGAAAACGATCGGAGGTTCAGAGACCTCAGCTTTCTTGGGTACCTGTTGCACGGTGAGAAAACGGCGGCGCAGCTTGCTCACAAAGTCCGCGCCATTTGCGAGTGCTGAACATGGCATGGCTTTAAAAACACGGAATTGTTGGTGAGTATGAATCAGAATGAAGCACAGGGTATCAAAAAACCAAGAACAATGTAATGCCCCTTCCGACATAACAAAACCATCTCATTGTCGAAGATACTATGCACCAAGTGTTCAATGCTTGGTCCAAAACCCTCCAGGTGCCAAAACTGCTTTCTTGAAACATCTTGAAAGTATAGCTAGCATGATCTAGCATGCTACCATGATCTCTGAACAGCCGAACCGTTTTGCCGGTGGCAATCGGGTCTTTGGTTGTCACATGCAGGCATACGTCCCAAACTAGACTGCACACTATATACTGCATTCTAGGTCGCCCTTCAACTAGACTCAACAAACATTCCCTTCCCTTCCCACAATTCACAGGTCTGGTGGCAGATCTAGAATGCTTCGGTCTTGTAGTTGAGATCTTGCTCAGCCGATGCCGCGCAATTGACTCAATCCACGTACAAAACTCTCCTGTACAATGTTGGCATTTCCATCATCGAAAGAACTGGAAGCCTGGTGAAATCATGGCTATGCCTATATGCCACACGTTAATTTCCAACGCCGGCATGAAGTCAACCGCCTCTAACTTTGGAGCCGATACAAGAGTGCTCAAAAAGTCCAAACGAAGTCGAAAGGTCGAGCCCTTCCGGAAATTTCAGGAGTACAAGGTGATGGTCACACCCACATTCTTCACCACCTGGGCGCGTGGAACCAGCAAGCTCAGCAAGCTCTAGAGAGCAAAAAAGAAAAGCGGACAGCTGAGTGAAGTGCACATGCCAAATGTCCGACGTTGAGCTTGATTGGCTTCTGCACAAGGTTGCTGTGGCGACACGTCAAATCCCTTGTGTCACCCAATGCCTTAAACCTTAGTAATAAGGGCATCGCTACTGTTAACAAGGGCATTACTACTAGTAACAAGGGCAATACTAGTAGTAGCTAGAAGCTACTAGTTACTAGTAGCAAGTAATGCCAGTAATGCCTTAAACCTTACTTACTAATCCTGTTCAGTGCGAAGGCGCATGTTCTTGCTCGCCTGTCATCGCAACAAGCAATTCCTGCTCGGAAAAACAAGACGGCGTCTCTTCAGAGGATGCACTTGCATTCAAACTTGCATTCATATTCCTGTACACATGCTTTCAGCACCAGCAGTTGTCACCGGGCTTCGAGGAAAATGATTCAATATCTGCAGTGAGACACTTTGTCTGAAGGGCACAAAATCTGAAGAAAGCATGGAAAACTGGTTCCAGGCTCAGCAGGAACCACCAAATCCAAGCTTGCGCAAAGCAACAAGACTCAACAATGTCCGTGTCAGCTTAGGGCAAGAGGGACTGGATTGGGACGCAAATGGTAGTAGGTACACCAAGGAAGCTTGGGTCGCTTCTTGAGCTTTGGAATTCTTGGGAGCTTCACTACCTTCACTTCATTGTCTTTCACTGCCTTCACTTCTTCCTTCGGCTCATTTGCCTCTTTGGGTTCTGGGAGCAATTCTGCTTTCAAAGCCGAGATGGCTGCACGTGCAGGAGCCACCAATTGCCGGACTTTCTCCCGGGGTCTGCGCCGATCACTTTCAGTCCACAGAATCAGTTGCTCTGCAAAATCTTCCAAATAGATCTGAGGTTCACCCAAATGCTGTGCGCAAATATCAATTCCTGTTTCTTGAGGAGTGACTGGTTCCACTGGCTCTGGCACCCGACTTGAACGAGCTATACTGTAAAACAGACCTTGGGCATCTTCCTGAGAGACATCAATCTGAAGGGCAATAGCCTTGAAGGCCTCCAAATCCAAGCTTAGCAATTGAAACCCAGATGAAGATGATGAGGCTAGACTCTTCAGCCTGTCAGGAACTTTTTGACGACGCAAAAGCTCCGACAGGAGATCTCCTAATCTCTGAGAGGAGATTGCCATCTTTGTCTTTCGAGCCGCTTCCAAAACGTCAGGCCATTCAGCTGCGACGCGGTGCCAAAAGTCTTCCATGCTTGTTGGAGGTACAGCCGATTGGACCAAACGTCTCAGCTTTTCAACGCAACCGTCAACACCAGAAAAGCACGATGCTCCGCACTTTTCCTCATTGTCTTCAAGCAGGAGACTAAAATATGCGCGAGCATCCTCCTCTCCAATGCCCAAGCTTTCTATCCTCTTGGTGAACTGGGTAAACTCCAGCTCGGCTCGAAAGGCAAAGCTTTCAGCTTTCAAGGCTTGCTTTCCTTCGCTCTCTGCTTCTTTCAAGTCTCTTGGTCTCTCGGCTTGAAAGCTTTCGGTCTCAGCTCCTTCGCACACCTCTCTGGTCTCTGTGGTAAAGAAAGCCTCCGAGATACTCGCGAACCTTGCGAGTAAGCAGTGCCGAAGATCTCGCCAAAGAAGTCGGGGCTTCTTGGAGATCAGCGCTTCCATGATGTCGGTCAGATCTGCGAAGCCATCTCCTCTGTCAATCAGCTGGAAGACATGTTGAGCCTGCAGTTCAACTCAGAACAACGCAAGAAAGCAAACAAATCTACTTGACGTGCTTTGCTTCTACAAAAGCTTGTTCCATAGCTAACCAACTAACTACTGCCCTTAGACCTTGTGTCTCAAGGAAAGTTGCCTCCCCCTGTCCTTGCTTATGAAACATACACAGTCATTACAGCTGTCCACGAGAACTGTGCAAGCCTGAAATGCTTCGATGCCCAAATGCTTTGCAACTGTGACGAAATGCTTCTTTGAAACCTGCCGGGTGAAGTTCTAAAGCTATTGGTAACAAAGGGAGTCGCTACTAGGAGCAAGAAGCTATTAGTAGTTCCTGGCCATACTACTAGTAACAAGAAGCTACTAGAAACAAAGGGCAAGAACAAAGCTTGATTCCACCAAAGTCAAGTTTGTGAGGCTCCTCCGTCGAATGGCGCAGCACTGCTTATTTACTTTGTAGTCAAGTTGGCCTGTTTCTCGCTGTTTGATGTCCCACTCCAACAAATTTGCCCTGCAGCTTGTCATTAGTGACAGTGCCTCCTCCACAAGTTGGCTCCTCAAAAGCTCCTGGACACCAAAAGGCTGGGCTCTGATATGTTCCAGTCAACATTCTGTTCAATCAATCTCTTTGGAACCTGCCTCCAATTCCTCTTTTTGGAAATCGTCAAGAAGTTGCTGCCGCAGCTGCTGCAGGGAAAGCAGGGCCTGAATGCAAGGAGTCAGCCACTTGCATAAGGAGTCATTAGCAGCTTTGAAGCTTGCCAGATATGAGGCCTCCATGTCTGGACCCAGGGCAACTAGCCTTACATCCCCTCCAATCGCTGCCTTGGCCGACACTTAAGAGTCGAAATGAAGGAGCATTAGCTACTAGTAACAAGGGCATCGCTACTAATAACAAGGGCACTACTAGTTGCAATGTTGCGGTATTCCGGTTTCTTCTGAGTCCAGTAACAAATAGCTTGCGAGCCAAGCTGTAGTCCCCATGACGGAGGAAAGATGTCACACACCTTGTTGGGCTTGTCAGCTGCGCGTGCTAATTTCCTATCTTTGGGTGATGACAATCGAAAGCCAAAACTATCAAAACATATCAAAACTATGCTGTCTGTGCGCCACGCCAAGTGAACTCTGACTTGCTGAGTGGCTCTGAAGCACTCGGCGAAGCCTTTGCTTTGACAGAAACATTTGCATTTATGCGCATGTCCAGTAATTACCTGCTACTAAACGTAGTGTCACAACATGCGGTACACTTTCGTTGGATGGAAGTTCTTGCAAGGTTCCTGAGAAAGAGAAATAGAAGGCCCAAGAAAAAAACGAGTAATGCTTCCTTGCCTTTCTAGACCGGGAGGTGCATTGAGCAGCATGCTTCATTGCCCGGAACCTCCAAGTGACAGTGCATCTTTGATGTGTTCAATTGCAAAGGACATCCTGAGCTATTTGAAACTCTAAGGCTCTAAGGAGTACACGCCCGCGTAATGTTGCCGAATCTCCGGGTCAAAATGCCCAGGAACTCAAGCACCTACAAAGCTCATGAGCCACTCAAAACATCTTGGAAAGCCTATCGGGAAGACAGTCTGCAGTGGTCGGCCTCAATGTTCAAGTGAGATCTGGAAGCACTCAATGCAGGGCTCGATCCCGGAGATAGTTTTGGAGATAACCTCAAACAGCCAAAAGCATGCACCTTCAAATAAATATCTAAACTAAATGGCTTTGGACTGAAAGTCATCGGTCTGAGGCAGTGGCTGGCAGTTTGATGGAGATAGCTCCTGCCGAGCTGTGAAAGTAAAAATGAGACAAAAATGATAACAGTTTGAGTGCTGTTTTCATCGAAACAAAATGGAGGACATGCTCTGCTGGTGTCTTGGGTTCCACGCCCTTACTGACCTTACGCCTTACGGCTTACAGGAGTGCCAAAGGGGTTTGGCTCGCCAGCTACCCCTTACGACGTGTGAACCAGAAAAAATATGTTATATACTGCACTTGTTCGTTCCTTCTTTCCTGTTTCTTGGTTTATTCCTTAAGGCCTGTATTTAAAAAATTGAGTTGTTCCTTCCCTTCTGCATTCAATCGTTTTTTTCTTTTCCCAACTCTTGCGACGTTTTGAGGTCTCCAATCGACATGTCATGTGCTTTTTAGTTTTCGAAGCCCTAGAAGTCCTTCGGATGAGGCACACACGGCCTTTGTCAAAGCAATTGTTTCTCAATGTTCACATTTGTGTTGTCGCTTGATGTGGTCAAAGAGTCTGCCGGGTGAATATACCTAGCTTGATGTCATCATCCCGATTTATTCAAATCCCTGCCTTCTGGTTGGAGCTGGAAGCAGCGTGTTCAGTACCTGAAGGCGAGCAACTTATGAAGGACTAAGAATGGCGATTGCCATCGGAGGCCTCAAGTGAACTCTCGGATAAAAAAAGCTAGACGACGAGTGGCCCTGAAGCATTTTTCATCACGTAGGAAGTCAGAGTGTGACTTATCTGTTAAGTGTTCAGTGTGAAGTGCTTAAGTCGAGTGAGTTGAGGTAGTGTGAGGGTCTCTGTGTGTGTATCTATGTCCGTGTGTATATGAGTCTGTGAATGTGTGTGTTCGAGTAAGTTGAGGCAGTGCGTGGGTCTCTGTGGGTGATGTGGCCTCCCAAACCCCCCACCGGCGGCCAAGCGGTGACCGCCCAGCTCATCGTCATGAGCATTTGAGCTGCTGGTAAGGGGAGAAGCAGCGTGCACGCCTCCAGGAAAGCTCACTGAAAAAAACGAGCCGGAATGAAGACAGAAAAGCGCCGAGGCAGGTACGCAACAAGTGTGTCAAAGCAGTGACCTGTCAGAGGAGATGCGTCCAGCGATATACGATCAGAGGTAACGTTTCCTTCACTCCAGGACACAGCTTTTCTAGGATGTAGTTAACCAACCACTATGTTTGTCATTGACGAAGTGACTGTCTCAGAGAAAAACGTGACAAAGTAGCATGAGGTGACACACAGCAGGCACTGTAGATGTTTAGCGTACTCTCGCTGTTCAGCTCGCGACCAGTATTATAGTGAATCGCACTCTCGCCTGCATTTCGCGCACTCGACACGCACGATCTCCGCAGAGGGTTGCGCG